TGATGGTTAGGCCAGTTTTTGTCATTGTTCTGCTCACTGTTTTGAACATATTTTTATATACAGAAAAAAACTATATATAAAGCACAATCATCCGGAAGATTGGAACATAGACTTTGTGAACAAGAACGGTCCAAATCCAAGTGTGGTCATGTCCAGATAAATGGATCCTGACTAGCAGTGCTGAAAAAGACTTCTGCCTAAAACTTTAATGAACTGCCAACTGCAGATTAGCCAAATCTGGATTTATTTATTTCATTTTTATACCGCCCCACAGCCGAAGCTCTCTGGACAGCTTACCCAGTCCACAGAAACAGATGATAGAAGTACAATAAAAGTATAAAATCAGAAAAGTTTAAAACAGCTAAAAACAGATAATAAAAACAGACAATAACACGGAATAATGAGAACGAGAGACTCTGCAAAGCACCTGATGAGCCCCTGCAAGCCTCTGGGTGACTAAGTAAGTCATTAAAAGCCTTAGAAAAGGTATGAGGCTTTTAACGACCTACAGCTTAAAATGCACTCAAAATGTGCAATTGGTTCACATTTTAAGACAGCTTAAAATGTGCAACTGGTGCCTATACCTTTGAGGCACTTCTATATCTGTAGGGCACCTCTTCCTCCAAGGAGCTCAGGCTTGTATACATGTGGGTATCCCATTTGTATTATCACAAGCAACCTGTGTTCAAGAGCCGAGAATCTGCATCACCACCCAAGAGGACTTCATGGCTGAAGGGATTTGAATTTGGGTCTCCCTGGTCCAGGGTGAACTGTCAGATCATGACACCCCGACAGAAATGTCCACATTCATGAGGGTAACTGTTCTCTGCACTAACAAAGTTACTACTGGCCTCGTCCACCAAAGTCTGCATTCTGCTTCCTGGCTGCCTGCATCAGGATGCAATTATAAAAATTACCTCCTATTCCATTCTGTCAGAAAGTCATTAACATCAACTGCTCTAGCAGATGCTCCCTAATATCCCCAATCCAGACGCACAGATTCACCCTGTGATTTCCGAGACCCACACAATTGCTTACATATTCCCCATTGTTGAGGAATGGAAAAAAGAAACAGCAGAAGCCAAGTAGAATAGAAACTCCCGAAAATCTGTGATAACATGCCATACCTGCCCACAAGAGCAAGATTCTTCCTTATCTAAGATTGCACCAACCATTTTTTTAACCAGTTAGGGTCTGTTTTTATAAGACATAACAAAAAACATGAATACTTGGGCTGTGCTGCTTTATCTTTTCTCTCTTCCAAGCCTCTTCTGGCTTCCCAGCCCATATTAGAAGTAGAGCAAAACATACCCAAGCAACCAACCTTTCAAGGCAGAGAGAAATATTTTGTGGGAAGCAAAGGTGTATATCTCTGTGAGCAGAAGCAAAGCAAAGCGTCTCAGTTCTGCTTTATCAAGTGACATTTGAAGCTGCCCCCGCGTGTACTAATCCAAGCCCACCATGCTTCATGGAGGATGAAATACCTGCTTGGCAGAAAAGGAACAAGCATATCACCGCTCGTTCTCTCCATTGTGGGCTCTGAAGAAAAGGGACCAAGAATAACATGAAAAGGCTCCGTGCTGGCAGTGTACAAAGGGTGGCAATTCCAAGTAACTCCCAAGGCTGCAAATACTAGTTTGTGCAGCATGACCCTGTAATAGTTTGGATGCGTTTCCTTGTACCACATTGCACATACTTTTCTGAACAGCATGTCATGCAATCAGCTCAGCACATTTTCCTATGCCACCCCCCACACCACTTCCCAAGAGCTCAGTGCAATTTTCTCCATCTTTCCCCACTTCCCAAAAGCTCCTTTTTAAAGCTATCCACTTTCACTTAAGAGATGCAGAGGTAGGAAACCTGCAGCTCTCCTCCAGAGCACCTTTGTGAAGCTGCCTTTTTGCATATATGAAGTCACAGTTAGTGCACCACTGAAATCTGACCTAAATAAGATATCTAAAGCTAATTTGAATGTTGTTCTTCAGGCAAAACAACTGTGAAATTCTGAGGAAAAGAAAAGGGAATTCTACATGTCCAGAGGTTGTCAAGAGACTTTGCTTAAAGCAAAGTTAAAAGTAAATTTGGACGTTACTCAAGCAAAACATCTCAGTCATTTGAAGGAAGTTGACAGAATTTTGATAAGGACTGCTATGAGTTCTCTGGAAAGTTTCCACATAGGCCTAAGTTGCAGAAACAGGCCTAAAACCTGGTGATCCAGCCTCTCAAAAGCTCCCTCAGTGGGCTCTGAAGGAAAATGTTCTACACAGTGAGAACAGTCAGCAAAGAGGTAAGTGTGTTTCCCATCCCATGCCATGCCTTTTTATTTTCCCGCTATATTAATGTTTAATAGATTTTAACTGGGGTTTTAGTATATTAACTGTCGGATGCTGTGGTGTTTGTATTATTTTACTCATTTATTGTAAGCTGTCCCAAGACATTTGTAGGGGACAGGTTAGAAAAGCTTTAAATAAATAAATAAATAAATAAATAAATAAATAAATAAATAAATAAATAAATGCTGCGATCAGCAACTGAACGGAAAAACTCATCTAGTAAAACACCCTTCATAATTTGGGACTTGTTTAACCTGAAGGCTCTGCCTGCTTCCATATGAACCAGTCCAGGTATTAAGAGAATCACAGCTCTTTCCCAGATGTCTCTGCCCTCAAATGTGAAGAGGGGTAGCCAAAAAAAAGAAGGCATCCATTTATGACATACCTGTCACGGAGGTCATCCTGCTGTTTTAGGTGTTACATTTTAAGGTGTTTTAGGTGTCACATTAAGGCACCTTTGCCCATACTGTTTAATAAACAGTTGGTGAGTAAAGCAAGTTATTTTATATGCTGTTTGCATGTTAACTGGTCCTGCCCACTATTAAATCCACTAATAAAACTGGTCCTGCCCACTGTTTTATTTATATTTTCCTATTCAAACTGTTTTTTAAAATACTTCTTTAAAAAGTTGATGCTATGAGAATTATTGAGCTCCTGATTTTTGAGTCTGTATATTTCAGAATATTAGAATCAAAAATGAATTGTCCATTGTATCAATTCAATTATTCTGAGTATGATTTTTTTATCTCACCTTGTCTGATCCAAGACATTCTGTTGCTCAAGAGACCACAGAACCATGTCAAGGTGCATAATAGCCCAATACAGACAAGTTATTTTGGCACCTGTAGCAAGTAGCTAGCAATTGGCTGCCCTTTCATGACCTCCAAAATCTGCTACCTGAGGCAGATGATTCACTCTCTCTGATGGTAGGATTGACATCAAATCCAACTTCTCCATTAGTATGTTCAAGGCAGTCTACAAAATTGACAATTTCCAGTAGCAATGCTGACCTTAAAGGGAAAAAAACATCCAAAAGTAACAGTAGGGGCATATCTTTTATGACTAAACGGTCATAAAGAATGTAGTGAGCTTTGGGGTTCAACAGAAGCCAAGCTATAAAAATATATATAAACTTAGTTCAACCCCCAGAAGAATCATGAACTAATAGATGGGCTTTCTCAAAAGATATTTGTAAAAGCAATGGCCATTCATCAGACTACCTGACTGCTACCCTCCCAGCTAACTGTAGTTAAGAAGTAACTTGTCTCCTTCCCTCTCCCAGTCTGTTTTCCTTGTGTGCCTTGTCTTTTAGACAGAGGGCTGAAACTGTCTGATCAATCACTTGGGTGCTTTGCTGAGCACAGAGTTAAAATCTTTAAAATAAATAAATAAAATAAAAAGATATGATAGTAAAGACAGCTATGGATAGTAATGATACAACAACACCTCTCTGCCCTTACAAGCTGTCTTACATTGAGCAGGGCCCTTGGTCCTTCTAGCCCAGTACTGTAGCAGCCCTCCAGGTTCCCAGGCAAGGCTATTTCCAGCCATAGCGAAACACATACCTGAACCCGCATCTTTGACCCGCAGAGCAGGCACTGTGTTCCACTGTACTACAGTCCCTCCATCATAATTAAAGAGCATCAACAAGCTGCTCATCATACAACACGCCATATACTTCATTGCCTCTTAAAATCTGCTTTCCTGCGATCTTAGGGCCAAGACCTCCACCAGTGCTTCCATCAGGGAAACGAACCACACAGAATCCCAAGCGCTGGCAAATCATCCCAAAAGATCTCATCACATTCTACCACTTGCTACTGCTAAGGCAAAGACAGTTGTAATCGAGCAGTGGGGCTGATTTGAAAACATCTTTACTACATTCAGTACAACACACATATTTACCAGGTTCAAGGTCTGGCAAGTGGGTCGGGGAGAGGAAAAGCTATGTTTCTGCAAGTTCACAGCAAAAACAAAACAAAACAAAACAAAACCCAGAGATGAGATTTTGTTTGGGTATTGTATACAGCTTTATATGTGAACAGTCAGAAAGGAGTTCAGATTTCTATGGTTTTCAATTTGAATAGGCTCTCATGCTTACTACAGTCTTTTGGGAAAAAGTACCCTATACACTTTTAACAGAAATAAGAAAATATGAGAAACAAAAGAAAGCTAGGCTGAGTTTGTAAACTGAGTTGGCGAGTCAGTGGAATGTAGCATTTTGACTGCTGGGCTGGGATTCAGATCTAGGTTGCAGTCGCCAGTCAGCCATGAAGCACAGAGGGTCACTTTGGCCTAGTCATAGACTCCAGCCTAAAGTTCCATAAAGGGTTGTTGCTATGATGATAGGTGGAGAGGAGGAGAACTATAATAATACACTGACAGGTCAGTTGCCCATTTGGAGATGAATTTGTATGTATGTGGGCAGGGGGAGGACACCGAAGTGGAATGAGAATGCAGCACTGGAATGAGAATGCAGCACTGGAAATCATGGGTTCTGATCCGCCATTTTACCCACTCTACCACTATGTTTCACCACAGGTCTGAATTTGTATGGGTTACTTGACAGAGAAACCTTGTGGCATTACAACCCTCTGCCCTCCACCCACAAAGTGAAGTCCAAGAAGATTCTACAGAGCTATCCCCCAAGGGGACACGAATTGTTACCTCTATACTGAAGTAGCCTCTGTCCACATAGTCTCCCAGGAAGAGGTAGCGAGTGTTATTGGGTGATCCTCCAACTTCAAACAACTTCATCAGGTCAAAGAACTGCCCATGGATGTCACCACACACTAAGGGAGTTAGGATAGGAAAAAGAAGGACAGGATTACATGCTAAGAAGAGAAAGGACATAGAACCAACCAGAAGCATGGTGCAACCTCAGCCTAAACCCTTTGCATTATACCCAGCTCCCATACACCATTTCCAAGGTACCAATACTTCCCTTTGAAAGTGTACTGAGTTTTTTGGGTCCTTAGTGCACTCCAGCAGAAAGAACATGCAATGGGAAACTGCTGTTTTTGGATGCTAAGGGGGCAATAAGCCACGACAGAAAATGCTCTCTGACCTGTGATTGGAGCCTCGACTTCAATCATGGTCTTCTCATGCCTCAGAATCGCAGCTCCATCATTTATTATCTTCAGTGCGGCATCCTCTTCCAGGCGCCCTTCTTTCACTAAGTGGTTCTTTAAGATCTCCAACCTGGGCTTCCCATCCTCAAAAACCTCTTTCAGAGTTAGCCGCTGTGTAGGGGGGAAAGGGACCGCTGGAGGGAGAAAAAAGAAACACTCAGAACAGATTCCCCCCGCCAAACAATTGACTCTTAAAGACTTCTGCAGAGATTTCTCTGAACTGAGGCCGAAGGGGGAGGCTGTTGTGTGTAAAGGATCACACTGAGAATTCTTCAGATTTAGACGGAGCTTAAGAAAACAACATAATGCAGCATGAAATGTGGCATAAGGATATATAAGGTTAGAAAAACAATTCACCCCCTTCAGAACTACAAATATCTGGAACCCATCACATTTAAAACAATTGGCAGAAGTCCTGTACAGAGCTGAACAGATGTTTCAAATTCCTAGTGCAAGCATCACATTGCTAGGTATAAGGTTCACTTGCCCTCATCCTTCTTAAACTGAATTTCTTATTTTAATAGACTTGTATCACTGTTCTTCAAAAAAAATTTTTTTCAGGACATCTTTACAAAAGTTCAAACTAACTAAATGGAAACACAACTAAAATTAAAAATCTCCAAAATTACAGTGTATAAGAGTGACAGAAAAATTCCTCTTTACATCCTTGATACACACACCAAATGTGCTTTTTGTTGCCTAACTGAAACTGATCACCAACTAATTTATTGACTTAAATACAGGCTCAAGTTAACTTGGTGCTAACCTAAAGTTCATTTGCTGTAACTTCCTTAGACGAAGGGCTTGTTCTCCAAAAGATGACAGACAAGTAATGTCATCGGCTTGCTTATTTCAGCCTTGCGGGGCCTTGGAAAAGAGCAGCCATGCAAATGTACAGCAATGTTTGAAAGTTAACTGTAGAGGCAAATCCATCTTCCCACACAATCTTTCCCTCTAAATTGATGAAAATCTATTCACCTTTCAAAATTCACCAACCTTGCATGTGGTTCAGAAAGCTTCCTACACCTTGTCTCAGTAATTCTTACAATAACCCTCTAAGCAAGCAATGTATGAAAATTCCCATTTTGCACACTAGAGGAAGTGGAGAAGAGGAAGACAAGCAATTGCAGCTTGCCAAAGATGAATGAGGAGTTTCGTATCTCAAGGAAAATCTGACTGGGAGAGGGGGTACTAGGTCCAACTTTAAGAGCCCAACTGAACATTCAGCTTACACATAACAATAACCAGGCCAAATTGCCCGCTCAAGTTTTTCCCTAATACAGAAACATAGAAACAAAGCAAATCAGAAGGGACTTCCCGGGCTATCTAGTCTGCCCCGGGCTCCAGCCAGCTCTGCTTACGACATGCAGGGAAACTGTGGCTTGGTGCTTTTTAATCATCAGTCATTTATATCTTTGATGACAAGAATAAAAACAGCCAGCCATGTAATCTAGTATGCATGTCTCCATAGGTGTGTGTGCACACACAGGGCTACTTTGCACAACTGCAGCAACAGAAATGAGTTGTGGGGGCTTACCTCCCCCAGGGCTGCAGGCCAGCCAAACTTCCCTAATTACCCTGACCAGTGCAGTTTTCCACATTATCCGAGCCATGATGGGGGAGGCAGCACGTCTCAAATAACCCAACAACAGGCCATGGCTTCAAACAAGCTATACCACCTGGTCCAGAAAACACGGCAAGCTACTGGTGAGGACAATTAGGGAAATCCGTGTAGCATATGCAGTGGGGTAACAAGCCACCAAGGCTTGCTTATTCTGCTGCAATTATGTGAACCAGGTGACACACATTTCACAAGAAAACCGGGAAGCTGCCTCAGAAGGAACCATGTTCTTCTAGTAAAGCCGCAAGACAGAAGTACCTAGATACAGATTAAATCAGTCTTCCCCAACCTGGTGGCCTTCAGAGGCATTTGGACCACAATTCCCAGAATTTCCATCCAGCAGAGCCATTGACTGGGATTTCTGGGAGTTGCAGTCCAAATGTGTCAGGAAGGCACAAGGTGGGGAAGGCTGACTTAAAAGATACCTTTCAGTGGACGGTCCTAGATCACAGGACATGCATTGCAGCTACATGTTCTGTCAACCTAAGGGAACACATGCCCAGGTGTGACCCTTGCATATTACCTTCACAGGTATGTTTCTGCCCTCCCCATAGCCCACAACTTGGTCTCCCAGCTCATCTATATGCACCACACCAATTTCACTAATATGGAATAATACACAAGTGCATACATAACATTTCTTCCTGTAATTACTAACCCAACAAATATTTCTCCCAGGGTGTAAAAACAAAAACCAAGCAAACAAATCACTTTCCTCCCCCAATCCTAGTGCAAAATGCTGAGGAAAACATTGCAGAAAAAACAAACAGATGGCATGTGTATCTATGTAATTCAAGGCTTAATTTTTATCCCTCAATTCTGTGATTAGAATGAAGTGTCTAAATTTACAAGAATGTAAATATGTTTGGCAAAATATTATTTTGTATGCTGAAACAAGCACTTTACTGGAGAAATTAAATTCAGAATTCTTTTACAACATTAATTCCATTTACACTTATTTTATTATTTATTTTTAAAACCTGGATCAATTTGATTCTGCAGAACTTAGCTCGTGGTTGCTTTTTGTTTTTGTTAACAGCTAGGGATTTTACGACTCCATCCTGTTTCTGCTGCATCCATTGTGTTGTGCTCTCATTCTGAATGATGTGCATTTTGTGTACAAGAGAATTTTTTTTCACTCATGTGACGTAAGCTGTGCCTCTCTCATATTCCCTGCTTGTCTGCTAGACACTCCCTTTAATCTTTCATGCTGCTGGCTTTGATGCAGATTTTCATGCTTTTTAACATTTCATCTGCTATTCTGATTTGACATTTTCAAGTGTCAGAATGTGTATGATTCTGATGGCTTGTTTCATGGTTTGATTTTTTTAAACAATACTATGGTAACTAAACTTTATACCAGTTCTCCATAGGCATTCATTGCATCAAAATCTTTCCTTTTTTAGTGTGGAGTACACATGCAATGTAATGTCAGTGCAGGCGTAACACCAAATAACGATTTAAACGCACATATTAGGCATGCAAGGAAGTGGAGACTATTACTTAGAGCAGCCTTTCACAAACTGGTGTTTTGCCTGAAGTGACCACAATCTGCATCCTGCTGCTCATCAGATGATGTGAATCATATTGATCTTCTTACACTACATTCTATGTACCTTATTAGAAAAATTACCATTCCCCCCTCATACTTGTGCAGCAAGGAGCTCTTTTTCCACAACCATTCCTAGATTTACATGTAAGCCAACTACAGCTGCTTGCAGGAACAGATGGCTGTTCTCTGCAGGGAAAAAAAAGTAGCACTGCAAGTCATCACACAGAACAGCTAGTACAAACCAGAAAGGAACTGTATGCTAAGATTTCTTCCACCCAGAATTTAAACTAGTTTGAGACTTGTTAAAAATGGTGACCTGAATATCTGTATCTTGCTCTACAGCAAGAAGGTGATAAAGGCCACCTGCAGCTTCAATAGGAAGGAGAATTCTCATTGATCTGCAAAGCTGTAATAATATTGAACACAGAACAAATACTTGGTTGTCAAGTATTGGATATAGTTTTAATTCATTTGTATTATGAAATACTAATTATTTTAGAGCTTTTTGTTCACAAGTGGTTTTCATCTTATTCAATCTCACTACAGTCATAAGAGAGTTATTATGCCCATTTTACAGATGAGGAATCTAGGCTAAGAAAATTACTTAGAATCATAGAATAGTATAGTTGAAAGGGGCCAAGGAGGTCACTGGGTCCAACCCCACTAGTGCATCCCACTGAAGTGACTGTCCAGTCACTTCTTGAATGCCCCTAGTGTGGGAGAGTCCACAACCTCCCTAGGTAATAGGTTCTATTGCCATACTGCTCTGACACTGAGAAAAATGTTCCTGGTATCTAGCCAGAATCTGGTTTCCTGTAACTTACCAACAACTGTTCAGTATGTCTATGCTAAGCAAAGCTCTCTTATGTTCGGAGACAGCATCTCACTGCACTCCAATTACTGAGTGCCAAACTGGGGGGAGGGCTGTTTCCCAACTGGTGGGTTCACAATTGCAGTGTGGAGAGAATGAAAAACAGTTTTAGCTACCAACTCCACAGCATACTGGCTGGAATACTGAGGGAGGAAGGAAAGGGAGAGAAACCACAGTGAGACCAATCATCTGTCAGATGCTTTTGTTTGCAAAACGACCAGCCTAGGCTGGGTGAGCATCACAGGTGAACCTGCCCACTGAAAAGGTCAATGCAATGTGAAGCAGCTTTGCAAAATGCAAATTCCATGTTAGGAATAAGAATAAAAGTAAGAATACCAATATTGTAATGCTTTTATACACCTCTGTGCCTTAAACCCACTTGGAAAAGTGCACACTGTTCTTGTCACTGCATCTGAAAGGATGCCGAAGAGCAGAAAAGGCAAACCAGAATGGTTGTGGGGTAGAGTAACTCCCCTACAAGGAGAGGTTACACCGCTGGGAGTTTTTTGTTTAGAAATGAAGGCAGGCAGGCAAGCAAGCAGGGACATAGAGATCTGTAAAGTTAAGCCCGGTGTGGAGCAAGTGTATCAAGAGTTCTTCTCCCTGACTGGGGTCATCCAAGGAAGTGCAGGACAGATACAGCGCACAGCACACTGTACAGTGCACAGCTCAGCCATCGTCCAGTTCACCAACTTATTTGGTTTTAAAAAGGGATGAGGCAAATCCACAGAGGATAAGGCTATCAATAACTACTACTCGTGACATATACTACTTAGGATCAGAGGAAGCACACCTCTGAAGACAAGTCCCCAGGAACAAGGCTTTTTCCCTCTGGTCCTGCTTTCTGGGCTTCTCAAGGGGCATCAAATTGGCCAGTGCACTGGAAATTAGCTAAACCAGACTGCCCTTTGGCCTGACCTGGTAGAGATCTTCTGCTCTTACAATGTTTCTACATAAACATATGTTGATTTGGTATTTCTATACTTGAGGGCTGGCAGATGAACTGACTCCCATGGAAGAACTCCAGAGTGTGCTCCAGAGCGATGGGAGACCTTTTTCTTTGGTGTTATATCCATGACTCCTCAGGCAC